AGAGTTCAATGCATTTTATTTTCGTATGAATACATTTTATTTTTTCTTGCGCCATAAGTGCTTGCGGAATATTTGTCAGCCTGTGGTAAATTTACTGCAATATTATGCTAAAATATTGTAATGAAAATGGGTGTGATGTAAAAATGTTCTTACTTGAGGATTATGTAATGTGGGAAATCAGAATTCCCTTAAATAAATAAGATTGTAAATTTTCTTATAACAATGCTCAGATTGACTGGATGAAATCAAGGTCAAAGACTTACGTCCATGGTTGATCTTTGGATTAAGAAGAACATGATAGGTGATGATGATGATCCTTATTCTTTTAATAATAATAATAATTGCTTACACTTATATAGCGCTTTTCTAGACACTCCACTCAAAGCGCTTTACAGGTAATGGGGACTCCCCTCCACCACCACCAATGTGCAGCATCCACCTGGATGATGCGACGGCAGCCATAGTGCGCCAGAACGCTCACCACACACCAGCTATCAGTGGGGAGGAGAGCAGAGTTATGAAGCCAATTGATAGATTGATGGCTTTTCTTATTCTCTTCTTCTTTTCTTCTTCCTCATTCTCAATTACCCTGTTTTCCTGTACTCCAGAATTTTCAGCTTTGCTGAATTGGCATTCAGTAATAGAGCTGAGCATTTAAGTCTCTGCCTTTGCTAAAATACAGGAAATTACTGCTACCATCTCTGCCTCCACAAACTGTGCCATATACTACTGTAACACAATGGATATGTTATCTGAGTAGTGATCATAATAAATGATGATGTTAGCAACTGTCATTGTCCTGTTCTTCTTAGATCCACATAGAATATTTGTTTGCATTATCTTGTTTCAATTGACCTGAACTGCAGTACAGAAATGTGGTGACTGAGATTCAAAACAGGTAAATTAGTTACAGAACAGACTGTAAATGTCTAATATACATTAGTCTAGATAGGCTGTTGTTTGCATTGCTTGAGGACAGGTAATGATAGTAACCTTTGTCAGAAATTATGGGAATATGACATTTTACATGATGAATTAAGTCTTAATCTGCTTTGCTGATGGCTGACTCTATATCTATTGGATCCCAGGGAAGGCGATTTTCATATAATTGAAAGGTTGGCTATGTTTATTTGAACTACATCATTGTGATAAAGGAATGAAATGAGAGAAGGCGGCCAAAATAAGCATGTCAGGAGGCTACTTGGAGAAATTGTTTTAATTTTCTCTGTTGATATTAGCTCAATTGATTTTACCAAAGCAACACTGATTGAAGAGTTTGCTTAAGCAGACTGGTCAATTCCGAACAGCGCCTTTTGTTTTAAAGAGTTGTTTCGCTGTCAACACTATGTTAAAAACTAATGCAACAGTTGAAGCAAAATAAACACAACACAACAAAGCTTGTCCCCACTCAACTTGGAGGACACAGGCCTTTATTCATGCATTCAAAATTCAAATGTTGTGTTATTCTTAATTATTGCCTCATATGATTATGAGCGGTGTGGTGGCTCTGTGGCTAAGGATCTGTACCTGTGGCTGGAAGGTTGCCGGTTTGTATCCCGCAGCTAGCAGAGGAATCCTACTTCGTTGGCCCCCTGAGCGTTCTGAACCCAAGCTTCTCTTCCTGTCTGTGTGTCTCATGGAGAGCAAGTTGAGGTATGTGAAAAAAGACATATTCCTAATGCAAGAAATTGTATATGGCAAATAAAGTGATCTTATCTTATATAAACCCTCTTATCAGGTTAACAAAACTAATGCCACAAAAAAAAAAAAAAACACGTGGGATTAGTGGGATTAGTTGGATCACTGTGTTCAAAATCAATGTTCTGAATCACCTTGTAGGTCTTGTAGGTTTTGCAGCTTCATTAGACATGATTTCCACAGATATTTGTGAGATGTCAGGAGATGACTCAAAGACATCAAACATATTTCACGGAGCAAGGTGGTAACACATACAGTACATAATCTTGCATGTTTTCATGACATCTGTAACATCTCAGCCAATCCATACCAAACTGACTGGTTGTTTTTTTCTTGTCGCATTGATAAGATGAACCATGCAAATAATTTCCCCTATAAGCCTTCATTGAGCTAGAAAATAATTCACTCACATAACTGTCTTTGTAGCTCCACAGTACACAAAGCAAAAAAAAAATGACATTGTTAACATTTAATTAAATTTATTTTCAACATTCCTCTACACTTTTTATTTTTTATTATGTTCCAAGGCCAATTAAATCATTTTGACGTCAACTTTCAATGAATGACAACTGTGTGTCAGATGTTACTAATGTCTGCTGAGCAAATGTCAGTTTCTATATAGGCAGGTCTGTAGCCTACCTGAGAATGATGTCAGGTAGATGGCAGGTCAGGGAGTCCCTTCTGCTACACTGAATAAAAACCGACATCTCCGACAAGCAGCATTGGATGGACTTACTAGCTGAAAAACTTTTCAGCATGTAGTACAGTACAAAGAAAAACTAATAGGCATGTTCATTAAATAGTTATAGTAATAAGTACTGCTGTGTGTTGGTATTTTTGTAATACTGCTATTTCCTCTTCAGTCAGTATCTATTTAAAACAGGTTAAATTCTTAAAAGTCTCTTAAAGATGATTACTCCTAATTATTATCTTAAATTATTTTCCATTTTTCCCAGAACTTTCAGTTGACTGCATTCCACTTGAAATCTCATGCTGTAACAGCTTTTAGAGTCATTTGTCTGGAGTGCTTTTCCTTACATTGTTAAGGTTTCTGAATTTTAAATCATAAGTGTTTTAAAATCACAATTAGAATGATTTATGTTTGATAAAGTGCTTGATTAGGTCATGAATTATACATCGCCTTGGGTTGGTTATGCTTCAAAGACATTATGGTAATCTATATTTTAATTGTGCTTTATTATTTGTTAGGGTGAAATCCAAAAGATTACTCAACAGTTTGTGTCAATTATAATCTTGAAAAGATGGTATAATCATGATTTTCATAATTGCATAGAAAAGAATTAGAAAAAAAACATCTAGCAAGATTCATTTTTGTGATTAACCAAGACCAAACGTATACTGTATATCAAATTCATGAGAACATCCTACAGTTTAACACACACGTATATATATATAAACAAAAACAGTATATAGTTCTGAGCACAATTTACAGTCTTCTGCGGTGTAGGTATATCAACTTATTGAAAGTTAACTATAGGAAGCAATTAATGTATAAATACTTCTACAATATCAATAATAGAGTTGGTAAAGAGAAGTATAGTATATTATATAACATTATCCTGCAAGAAATTAAGTGCCTTGTGTTTTCGTTTATGTTCAAATGTCTCCAGACATTTGTTTCTAATTTCTAACAATATAATAGAGATCTTCCAAATGTCTTTAACTTGACCAGGAAGAGAAACCTTAACGTTATCAAATTCCATGTAGGATTTTTTGTCAATGAAGCTCTGCAGTAGGATAATGCTGTATGACATTATTATTGGTTTCTTCTTGGCTTCTTGGTTTCTTCTTGGCTTATTGGAAACTTCTTGGTTCAAATCTAAATTTGTCAAAATAAATAATAAAAGTAATAATGCATATACAGCTTAGTGACAGCATTTCAGAAAGTTTTAATATTCTAGAACCATCTGTTTTATATAAGATTACGAAACAGTGATCCTACATCCATCAATTGAGCTCAATGGTGGCTCAATGTTACATGTACAGGACACACTTTATATTATTATTTGAAAAACCACAAGATGGAGCTTACATTGCTGTCAATATACTATACCGGTCTTCTGCAGGTATAGTATACAGAGTGAGAATCAAAGGGCAAAGACACTACACAATTCAGATGAAAAAGGAGGTCCTCACTGGTCCTAAGGTAGGACAATGGCAGGAGACATTGGTTAACAGATGCTATTTCCAAAATTGAAAGTATTGGTTAAGTGTTTGTATAAGATATGCTAGACAGCAATTTAGATTACTGTATTTGTTAATGAAAAATGTGGCTGCCATTGTTTCAAAGTTCATGAAGTGTTTTCAACATTACAACATTACAATACATTTAGCATTAAAAACTCTTCTCATTGTAAATGAAGTACAGAGTCTTTAAGAGTTAAATCAAGTCAATTTTGTTCAAAAGAAAAGGTATATTTTAAAGGTTATTACATGTTATTACATTTAGAAACTAGGACACACTGGCCTTGGGCAAGAGACAGGAAAGGAATCAGAAAATAGCAAACTCGGGGGATCCTGTCATTGTTTGAGTTTGTGTTCCAATTTATGACAGTGAACACAAGATACATGAACATGTTTGACCCATGTCTTCATAATCTATTTTAAGTTCTCAAGATCTTAGGTACAGAGTAACATGGGAAACAGTGTGGCTGAGGCTTATTTACAATTTAAATAATACAATTTACATTTAATTTTTTTGGAAACCTGTTAAAAAAACGTTTTTAGTGCAATTAATTTGGGCTTTGTGTCTGTTCATGTGCTGTTCAGATTTAAAGGCAAACAAGACATACACTGTACATGGAACTGTAGCACGTGGGTAACCTTTAAAATGATGGATGGATGTCACCACTAAGCTTTTCCTGTCACCAGAATCCCCCTTTTAAAAGGTTACATGTTGCATTCCTTTTTCTTTTTAATTTGTAAAATAATTTTGGCTATTAAAATGAAAGCAAGTGAAGTAGGGCTCCAAGTGAAAAGTGCAATGAACAGACTGATATTTCAAATATGCAGATTCCAAAAATAGGTCACCACATAACGAGGACTTCATACTTCAAAAGAACAGTGCAGCTTTAAATATTAAACAGCTCTAGCCTTTATAAAACAGTTTTTCAAATTCGAGGGGTATGTACATCCACAAAAACCAGCTGAGGTGCCTAACTCCTCTGGGTCTTAACTGCTAAGAAATACTCACCCCAGCCCCCCTCCCCCCCCCACCTCTCCCCCCAGCCCTCAAACACACACTCACTCTTCAAGTCTCCCTTCCTTCCTCTGCATACACACCAAACATACACTCACACACACGTACATAAACACCCTCAGCCATTACCCCTTACAGCATCTGCAAATGCATTAGCTTGGAATAGGCAGGATTCCCAAGTGGCCCTGTCTTTCCGATTAAAGATTCCCTAGTGACCACAAAGCAAATCACTGCTCCTCTGCAGGAGGGAGGCTTTTCCACTAATCTGGTTGATGAAGATCCCACAGCTCTGGGGACCTGACAGGAGCTGCTTCATACCAGTCACGGGTCTCTGACTACTAAATGTACATGCGAGCATCTGAGAGTACAGCCTACTATCTGTCCTGAACCTCTGGGAAATTCAGTTTAGCTTGCATTTTGCCTTTCCTTCTTTTACGCAGCTCGCAGTTGTACACAGAGAGGCAAAAAAAGACGGCAGAAGGAACTGTTCTTGTTATCATAGAGCATTGCACACAGGGAAGTTTGATCGTTTCAATCATTAAACATTGGATTAAACTGATTCTACTCCACCAGTGAAAGAAATTCAATTGAGGTAAGTGCCTCTTTATCTGGCTTTCCTGCCTTTTGTGGAATTGTTGTTCAAGATCTCAGGACAAAACTGAACAAACTGAGTTACTGCTCACTTGCAAGTCAGGGCTTTGCTGTAATGGGTTAGCTCTAAGCATAATATCAAAGTCTTTTCTTCATTAAACGCTTTTACATAATTCTGGAAAAAAAATGGTAAAACAGCAGTAGAATCTGTAAACATGCTTGAATTTTATGTTATGTGTTTTGATTTGTCAAGAGCAGTTTTCTTCCTGCTGATATAAAGAATCCATAAAAAATGTTGTTACCTTAAATTAAACCTATATAACACAGATTATTAAGGTTTATTGCTAAGATGTCTGATAGACTTAAAAAGATGCTGCTTCTGATTTCACAAGTATTTTAAAATTAAAAATCACATATCTGTATTCATGAAGACTGAATGAGGAAAATAACTGGCAGCAGGGGTCACTGAATTGCCAGCTGAGTCTATTCTGAATGCAGTGACTTAATTTAGATTATTTTGTATTTAAAATCCTAAATTAGTACTGTATTAAATATGTGCATTAATCTAAATATTTTAAAATTCTTTCAATATATTTGAGGGAAATAAGAGAAAACATTAAGTTCAAATGAAGCAGAATAAATACAAATCATCAAGTTTCCTTCTTTCAACCTGCTGTAGCTCTTAAACAAGAACATATTTTTGAAGGCATGCTGATTAAAGATCTCTATTATTATTTTAAAATGTGTGTTCTGTCCAGCTATATATAATTTCATGTTTAGTGGTTCTAGTAAATAATAAAATGTCTGTTGATATCAATATGTGCAGATTAACTACAAAACAGATGGGATTTGATAAAACAAGTAAAAAAGATGAAGTAATGCTTGGGAACAACATAATCAGTCTTTACATTTTCTTTTCATTACAAGCTCAATGGATGACATTTTTATTATGAAAAAAAAAGTATTAAATTGAGTTTGTGTCAAAAGCAAAGTCTACTATTTTACTTGCAGCTCCAATATCACCAAACCTGTCTTTTGATCCACTCACTGCACATTTGGGTTATTAGCAGCTCACCCTTCAATACAGAATCTGTCTAACCAGACTGTAATGCTTTAATTACTTAATGGGTGTTGCATAATTGCAGGAAAATTAATTATTGTTTTGCACCATAGGTGCCAGATGGTGTATTATGATGAAAGCTATGAATTAATGAAATATGAGATGCACATATAGTTCAATATGAACTTTAACCAGACAAGGAATTGAATTATTTTGATCTGGTCTGAAAACTAGGAACTGCTGTTGTTTGTAACAACAAGATGTAACATTTATTTTATGGCGGAAGTGAATAAATAAGCAGGGAGTAAAGGAAAAGTTCCTTAACAACTGTATGTACAGTAGTACTAGCTCTATAGGATTTCTATGCATATATAAAAAAGCAGCATATTTGTAAGAAGATATGTGAATCTACAGTACATGGAGGGATATGCCTATTATAATCCACCTTTAGAAAGTAGAGAGGACTTTATGTTTTCAGCTGAATTGTAAAACATATTGTATGTACAGGTGTTTTACAGCAGTTAATTTGTTTATTTAATTTATAAATTCCATTTTATTGATTTTGTTTAACTTTATTTCATAGAAATCATTCTTCTTGTATGCATAAAAAAACACTCAGGTTAGATGCTGAAACATTTGAATCAATGCCAAACTGCTTTTAAAATGAAATGCTGCTCTTTTATTTCTGTACAGTATTTAGACGATTTCCTTCTTTATAAATTACAATTGAGCAAATCATTCATAATGTTCTAGTCATATTCTGTGGATATGTGTGCATGATATTTTTTTGCTTTACAGATTTACATTGTAGACCACAACAAAACAAAATTGATCAGCATATACCAGACTGAAAATGGATATTTTGGCTCAGGGTTTTATTTTACTTACTGTTCCTATCAATATTTAATGGGTATATCTAACTCCTCATAAGAAAGTTTTGCCTTAAGAGAAAATATGAAAATTTTCAAATGAGTGTATTTAAATTAAACATGCAAGCCATGTAGCCCTCCAGCAAAATAATACCAATATACATTATCATTCAAAAATAAGCCTTTGTAACTGCTACTAATAAATGTCTATTATGATATGTTTATCAGTAACTTTTCTTTATTGTTTATGTTTAGTATGTATTTCCTTTATAATGAACCAATACCTGTTGACTTATTGTTTGAATTTTCATACCAATCTTCATGGACAATTTACTCCAAAAAGCCTAGATATTGATAAATGCTGACCACTGACTTTGCATGATTTTTTCTTTCCTTTTCATTACATACATGTTAGATAACATGTTTTTTGGTCCTCATCTATTGACTCTGATACTGAAAGACAGTCTGGTCTTACATTTACATTTAGCTCTTTGGCTTAATGGAATTACATAGTTTTTCAGTAATAAAGAAACAAAATTGTTAAAAGCATTTATTCTAGATTGTTCAGTAAGAATGAATTATTATGAAGAAAATGTCTATTTATTCAATGTATTCTGAATATCCTTTATATTTTAATAATTTGTATTACACATTTATAAGTATAAGACAATATGTAAGCTTTTATTTCTTTATGTATTTTTGAAAGTTTGTGTTTTCTGGATTAGAAAAAAATCAATTAATAAATTTTATCACAAGACTAAAGAAAAACTTTTGCTCTAGGAATATACACCCTTACAGGCTTAATACAAGTGAATACAAGTTAAGATTGTAAAAATATGTTTTTCATGACATTCTGAAAGATCATGATATTCTTATTTTGGCTCATGTCAATGTAAGCCCTCTTTTGGTATTGAATTTGCTATAATTATCTGCACTGATTTTTTAAAACTATTTGTTAGTTAATTTTTTTAACTACAGTCACCTGCCATTCCACACAAAATATTTTCAACTACAAATCAAATTATCTCTAGTAAGGTGTCTGTCATCTGCTCTTGAACTAAATTTTAAAATGTTTTTAATACCATTGATTCTGTCATTTTGCGCTTTACAAGCTGTCCTTTCATAACAGACCTGTCCCTTCCTTACCCTTTCAACACATTCATTCCTTGATATTCAAAATACAAGCTCTATTCTTTTATGAACTTTTATGAACTTCAAATTCTTTATCATGTGACTGTCATGCAATTTTATTATTGTTTGATAGCTGAAATGATCAATAGATAACATATAAAGTGCTTTAAGATGAAGAAATAGAGTCCGTAAAATGAAGTTACCATTTTAGTGTATGCATATCACCATGCTTAAGTCATATAAATATGGTTAAGGTGTTCAATGGCAAGAGTTAAATCCATAAATTCTCAGTTGAATTGTGATCTGATTTAAGGCGCAATACCTCAATAACATCCTGGTACTGTAGATGCAGATTACTGTACATTTTTTTGTTTCTAATGGAAATGGGACGAAAAGAAGCAACTTTGACCTCATATGTTTATTACTTGAAATAATACATTTGTTTGATTATCTAAAACAGACCATGCACATATTTATTTTAATCATCAGCACCAATAATTGTTCTTTTTGTTTAGAAAACATGGTCATAATTCAAATTTAACAACGGCATCCCGAATATGTTCTTTTATGACTTTACATAACATACCTCTTATCAGCCTTTTCTTTCTGAAGGGATTAACATATTTGATTAAAACAAGGCTATAAGGAATAATGCATGTAAAAGAACAGATATTGCACTTGTAGATCATTTTTATTGTATCTAAACATTTCGGTTAAGGAAATCAATTGAACCATATGAAAAAAATCAATGACTATTTATATGGATGTGAACATTTCTTGTAAGACAACAAAAAAACAAACTCCATAATGTTTATTGCAATTAGAAAGTAAGAATGTTTTTGTTAAAGTGTCCATGATGAAACTCTCTAGCATGTCTTTTTGTCTAGAAAGAATGACGCCTGATACCTTTTACCATTTTCTTTAGTCTGCATACTAAGGGGAGCATGAGTGCTTTTATTGAAGATCATAATAGTTTTTTTTTTTCACATACTGTATCATGATCTTAATTTAAGTTTGATAACTTCAAATATAATCTTTAATAACCCACTGGCAACTGATTTTAGAGGTTTTCTGTTACACTTGTGAAGTTCCATTAGGATACTAACCCTAGAGGAACAAAACATTTTAATGGTTACTCCAGACAGAATGGGTGAATTATTCTTTCAGCACTGCACTACTTAGAACAGGACCTGGAGCGATGATAAAACACAAGGAGAGTTTTTGTGCAAACTACCAAAGTCTTGAGCTGCATTTAAAATTACCCCCTTTGCTTAATGGGCTTCAAAATATCAACATTTAAACATTTAGTAAATTTGAGGAAATTTTTGTCTATAGTTTGGCTTTTTTCCAGACATGTTTCTTTATTATCTTGTGAAAAAATATTTTGAAGTACTTTCCTCCTCCCAAAAGTTAAGTAAACACCCCAAAGAAAATATATTGAGCCCTGTTTGAATGAACTCTACTGTACATGTAGTTCATTTTGTCATTAATTTTTCAGAAACTTTGTAGTGCTTTTGCCTGAATTAAATTTTCATCTTTAGTAGTTGCTGAACTTTTATTACACTCAGGATATATTGTATGTTTGTTTTTCACCATTACTCAGCACTGTACAGTACCACTGTACTGCCTACTGGACACTGCTAATCAAAACAATTAATTTTTAACTTTTAAAACTTTGTGGAAGTTTTTGCAAACATATACAATATACATATATAACTTTTAGATTATAGTGTTTTTATAGTGTTGAAGGGTGTAATAATTACCAAAGAAACAAATTAATTACCCCCTCATTTTTTCCAAATACCAACACCACTAATTTCAATTTTCTGTAAATGCCATATTTCTGGCTTTTATATTATGGACTGCGCAATAGCAGATTGTATATTCCATGCCCCAAAATCATATAAATGTTCATTTGTTTAAAAGAGTCACGTTTATTTC